GGGGGATGGAAGGAACTTTATCGCGTGGTAGGCTCGACGTCATCCGTAATAGAGGACTGGCGGCGAGCAGGCGTGGCTCTATTAAGCGCTTTGGAGCCGAAGGGAACCTTTAAAGGGCAACGGCGGCGCCGTGTCTCGCAGGGTCTGGCAGTGCCGCAGTACCGGTGCATCACGCACATACGTCGTTATTATCGATCGGCAGTAGGGACGGTGCTCGGCAGTCGTGGTCGTTGGCGTAATTGTTGGCGGGAAGGTGGTGTTGGTGGTGGTGGTGGTGGTTGAGTCAGCATTGGTGCCTGAGAGCGCCGGTCGGATCGACGAGGTTGGCCGTGTCGGGGTCGTCCGCGGGAACACCGAGGAGAATCGGACGATTGCGTCGCGCCACGCCCGCGGCACGCGTTCGTTGTCCCGCCGGGACGGCTCTCGAACCGGTGGTGTCGAGCCTCGCGCCTCGTAACCAGAGGGAGCTGAGGTCGCGCGTAGATTCGGCGCAGGAAGACCCACGTCCGTGAGCAGCGGCAGCAGGGCGACTCTGGACCGTTGTCGCGTGGCGCCACGCTCTATGCAACCAGTCTCGCTCGGGAGCGACCATCAGTCGCCTGCGACGCCTGTGTCACGAAAGTGACAGCCAGCGCTGCTGCTGCTGCTGCTGCTACTGCTGCTGCTGCTGTTGTTGCTGCTGCTGCTGCTGCTACTGCTGCTGCTGCTAGTGGTGGTGGTGGTGGTGGTGGTGGTGGTGGTAGTGGTAGTTATACATAGTATTAGTATATTGTTCGTCATCGTAGTAGCAGTAGTAGTATTAATAGTAGTAGTAGTAATAATCATAATAATAATAATAATAATAGCAGTAGTAGTGGTAGTGGTGGTGGTGGTGGTAGTAGTGGTAGTAGTGGTGGTGGCGGTGGTGGTGGTGGTGGTGGTGGTGGTGGCGGTAGTAGTGGTGGTAGTGACGGTCGCGGCGGTAGTAGTGGTGGTCGTCGACGTCGTCGTGAGTCGAGCCCTCACCGGGCGGTTGTCCGCGCGTGTGTGGGTGCGCGCAGTGCGGCATCGACGGGGACGGGAGTCTCGTCGGCTTGAGCGAGGCCAGCGGCTGCGTCGCTATGGCGGACGACGAGGTCCTCTTCGACGACGTTTACGAGCTCTGCGAGATCATCGGCAAGTGAGTAGCGCCAACGCTGATAACGGATATACCGACCGAACGGACTCCCTGCGGCTGCCCTCTCCTCCCCCAATCCCCGCAACCGCCGTCGCCGCCGCCCGTACTATGTATGCACGTATGTGTTTGTTTGTTGTTTGTTTATTTGTTTGTATGTTTGTTTGCGCCGCGCGCGTATCTCTCTCTCTCTCTCTCTCTCTCTCTCTCTCTCTCCCTCATTGTGCGTTCGTGTGTGCGGCCGTGTGCGTGTGT